GTCTGTTTTGAGCTCTTCGTGTGCAATCCCTGCCTATTTGTTGTTCATGTCTTCTGTATGTCTGTCTTCCCACGTGAAGACCCCAACATTTAGAACACACACACACACGGGGACACGTACACAAGGTCTGTGGAACTTCGCAGTACTGTGGCCAGGATTGAAACTGGATTGAAGGATTGAATTTCCATCCGAGCCCGGATCCAAAATTCAAGATTCTCCCAGGACTCTTTGGGCGGAATCTTGGATCTCGGATCCAGGCCCGTTTTGAAATTCATTCCTTCAATCAAGATTCTGTCCAAAGACTCTTGGGGGAATCTTGGATCTTGGATCTGGACTCGGATTGAAATTCAATCCTTCAATCAGGCTTCAATCCTGCATCGTTTGCTGCATGCCAGTGTGTCTGAGTGCATTGTGAGCCGATGTGCAGAGCTTGATCGTTTGCTGCATGCCCGTGTGTCTGATTGCACTGTGAGCCGATCCGCAGCGCAAATGAAAGATCTTTAATTATACGCAAACATCAAACCTTGTTATCTTGGCCGTTGCATTTCCTGAACTCGCATCTTTACCATATGCGGGAACATGCTTTTTCGGTGCCATGACAATGAGCTACGTAGTATGCAACATTTCGCGATTTTCCTTGTGACTGCCGCTGCTATTCGGACTTACTACATCAGGGAGCTGCTATCATCTTTTGAGGAAGTGTCACAAGGGTGGCTTGAGAAAAATGAAAAGAAGACATTCGGTACGGAGAAACTATGTCCCAAGTTGTGCTTTATATGACCATATATTGACCTAGATCTGCGAATGCTATGGCTGCTTTAGCGGCGAATTGGAATCCGAATGCATTCTAAATACCGATATATTTTGGGCGTCTTTTTGCATACGAAGGAAGATTATCGGTGGTTAGCGTAGCAGGCACTACATACCAGCTGTCTGCAAATATGAATGTTAGAATGGTTGATCTCGTTGAATATTAATGTCACGCTAGGTTTTGTTAAGTGAGCGTCTAGCGCGCTTTTTTGTTCTAGGGTTTGTTCGGCCTTTTTCGTTGTCTTAGATGATGCATTGTCGGTTTTTGGCCGGGGATTCTGGGTTCTGAATGGTCAATGTTGACTGAGAAGATTAAAGAAGGATATCATAAATCTCATTTTGGCAAGCTTCAAGCCAGTGGATCAAGGAAATATTTTTTTTACATGACGGATTTTAGATTTTGTAGTTATCTTGGAAGGAAGTGGGCTTGGTTTCGAGACTTGGGGGCCCCTAAACCCTCCCTATTGTACGACTGTTGATGTACTGTTGTACTAAGGCTTACTCTAGTATACTAGAGCTGCACTGTACAGCAATAGTACTGCACAACAACAACAAAAAACAACAACAACTACTACAACTACAACTGGTACTGCTACCACTACTACTTCTACGTCTACTAGTGCTAGTACTAGTACTAGTACTAATACTAGTACTAGTGCTACTACTACTACTACTACTACTATACTACTGCACTTTTTCTGTAAAATTACAGTATTGCTACTGTACAAGTTTACTAGGCCTCAGCCTTGGTCGATTGTGGGGGGAAGAGTAGGATGGATGAAAACGGGGTGAAAAAGCCCTTTCAATGTGAAAACTTTTGAGTCTTAGTAGTTATCTTGGCATGAGCGAAATTGAATTTGCGATCTTGGGACGTCCTGAATCATCTTATGGTATTGCTGTTGTACTATTACAGTAGTACTACTACCCGTGCGTTGTACTGTTGTACTATAACTGAACAACTACTGTATTGTTATTTGGACTACTCTTACACTACTATTTTATTGTACTGCTTCTGCACTGCTGCTGTTCAACCTTTTTGAAGCTGGCTCGTGCAGCATATCAACAGCAATGGCTCGCACTGCATCCGCATGGTGTATACTTTGGCCTTAGTATTGCAAGCCACATTGCTTGCTACATACAGAAGCTCGGGTGACGGTGAGCCAAAAACCTCATCGGTTACCAAACGTCACGCACTCAAGGTGAGGAGAGCAACATATCGAGACCAAGCCCTCCAGCATGGAGTCTCCGGAAATCACCGGACTTCATCTACCTGCCACAATGACATGGGTTTGTGGTACGCACCCTTAAAACTCATCGTCATCCTCATGATCGACATCACCATCGACATCTTCGTCCTCAACACCATCATAATCATCGTGTTCGTCGGCGTCGTCATTTCCGTCACGATCATTGTGCCTTCCTTTGTTTCCATGTCCCCGAGCGACCGATGTCAAGACACACAGTGTCGTTGTCTTTTTGTTCCACAGGTGTAGTCGTGCTTGTTTGTATTCGTATATTCCTCCCGCTGTAAGTTTATGCTTTGTGTCCAGCACCCGTGTATCATATGGATAGAGACATATATAAGGGTTTACGCAGGCTGCATATACCGGATATTGTAGGTGGTGTGGGTACCCAGGGCTTTCAGGCAGGCTGTGGAATGGAAGGGTTGTTTCGGATTACTTGAGTGATATCTGAGGGGGCTTTTTCCGAATAAAGCGAAAATGCACGGATCTTTGAAGGGAGGAGCATATATACATATATATATATATGCACACATATATGTGTTATATACACAACTAAATTACAGTTGTGTATACATATATATATATGTACATGTGTATACATGTGTATACTTCAGTATATGTATATATATATATATAGTAGTATACATGTTTGTATGTATGTATGTATATATATGGTACATAATACATGTATATCTGTCTGTTTGTCTGTATGTCTGTATGTATGTCTGTAAGTGTGCATACATACATATATGTATGTATGTATGTATGTATGTATGTATGTATATATATATGTTACATATTACATGTATATCTGTCTGTTTCTCGCTATGTCTGTATGTATGTCTGTATGTGTGCGTACATGTATGTATGTATGTATGTATGTATGTATGTATATATGTATATAGTTAGTTGCCGCCCACGAAATACTATGACAGAAAGTGGAGCAAGGCTTCAGTGCTGCCATCAGTGCTTGCGGTGTGTGCTCGGAGTGGCCTTGGGGCTTGGAGACGCTTGGACCTGGGCAAAGCCTAAGAGAAGCAGAAGGAGACGGGCGCTGGGCGATCTCGACGGGTTTGGGCTGAGCCTGTCCCCAGGTTGCTGCGAAACATGGGAGCGTGTCTTTGCTGCAGATGTGTCGCTTCAGTCCTATGTCGGCTCTGTGCAGTCTGGGAGAGCAAAGGACCCTGAACCAGTGGAGTCGCAGCATCCGAGCAACATCGTTCAACGCAGATCACTTTGTTCGGCCACGGCAAGTAAGGCGCGCGATTCCCCCCGACAGGATCGCCTTCGACGCTGCTATAAGCGCCGGTGCTCTGGGTGCCTTTGCCAGGAAAAGAACGGCATCAGACGAAGTCTTGAAAGTCGGTCCGCACGCCTGCAGGTATCCAATGGGAGTCGGGCCTGGCACTACTGGCATCAATGGGAAGCCGTGAGATCTGCAGCTGGGTGCTAATCTTCAGTGAGCCAGAAAGATCGAATCCAAAAGCCCAAACCTCCGCAGGGCGCATGTCTATGAAAATCTTCAGCACGCATCGTGCGACGCCTACTTCGAAGTGGGCATGCAATAGCTGCAGAAAATAGCAGCTGTCGCACTGGAGCGGCTAAAGAAGTTTAAGCCCCCATCCGGACTCAGTAGCGTACCTGCGGTGGTGTCTGGAAGCATCCAAGTAAACGCAACAGACATCAAGGCTTCTGGCTCCATTGCAGAACACTTGAGCGCGTTTGGGATCAGGGAGTCCAAGACACATCAACACTACTTAAACTCCCTTTTCTGGGGGCTCATGCTGTGCTCCAGCAGTGACACTTAGGTCCGGACGAAGTTAGTTTCAATGCCGCCATGAGCTGCTGCGTCGCTTGATCTCTCAGATTTCCGGAGATTGTAGCAGGAAATTCAGGTTCGGAGTTGGAGTCGCGGCTTCGCTCAAGAGCCAGACGTCACACATTTGTCGACAGACTCTGAGACCACAATGTAGCATGTCTAGTGCAGTTTCGATCGCAGCTGACGAGTAGAACTTCCAAGACTTGGGAATCCGTACCTTTCTCGGATGTGCAAGATGACAAACCACAGGAATGCTTGGAGGACCAACAGTTCCAGGAAGTTTCGCACGTCGAAGACAGCGCGTCATGACGCAGTGCCAGTCTCCTGCATTGCCGTCTGACAGCCGAGGAACGCTCTGGCCGATGGATGGAGGCTCCTGCCGGGGGTACGGGATTTCAGAAGACACTCGACACGGGTTGCAGCGAGGCCCTTTCATTGTTCGCTTTGATCACAGAGCTTCAGCCACGAGCCTCGGCACAGACACAGCGTAGAGAGGGGTATGCGGATGTGTGTGTGTGTGTCACCCACTCTGGACTGCTGAAGGGTCATCAACAGAACTGACCCGGCCCCTCATTGTGAGATTTGAGGTGTTCCCTGCAGTCAACCCAAGATTTGAAATTCTGTGAGACGGAATGTACCGCTGCTCTTCTGAAAACCTACTTGGCCTAATCCCAGAAATGCAGAGCCCGAAGACGGGGAACAGCCACGAATGGTGTACCGATTCATCCAAGGCCCAGACGCCGTGTCCGTGGGCCTCGCTTGCAGCGCTGTTGCCGCAGCTCCCTGGCCACTGGCTTCGGCACTCTTGGGAGCCTTTACATGCAGTGGTCGGCGCTAAAAACAATCTTGACAACTGCCACAATAATGAGAAGGACGAGGCTGATGATGACCGCATCGGTGCTGATGGTGGTGATAAGATCGAGGAAGAGGGTGAGACAAAGTAGCTGCAGGAGGCACGCTGAAATAAGTACGGGCAGGAGCAGGCATGTCGAGTGGCCTCAGTCAGCGTGCGCTGGAGTGGAGGGAAGGAAGCAGGAGGGAGCGGCAGAGGGAGCGGGTGGAGGTGACAGCATTTTGTCAGATCAGATGTGCGCATAGCAGAATCTTCGGCTTTTTGTACACGTTTTATCTGTACGCTGGTTCGTGTACATTACATTCATGCCAAGTTTTTCGCCCGAATCAGTAAATCAACTTCAGCTTCGGGAGGGAAAGGCTCAAGGAAAGATGTGGCGATGAAAAACCGCCCTGCAGTAGCAGTAGCAGTAGCAGCAGTTTCTCGCCTGGCACGCCGCCATGCTCGAGCTGGTGCATACTATTACCCTCGGCAGAAGAAGCGTAGATAGTGGCACTAGTCGAGTGGCTGGTTGTGGCAGTGGCGGTGGTGGTCAGAGTCATAGCAGCAGCAGCAGCAGTAACAGGAGCAGCAGCAGTAACAGGAGCAGCAGCAGCGGCAGCGGCAGCGGCAGCGGCAGCGGCAGCGGCAGCGGCAGCGGCAGCAGCGGCGGCAGCAGCAGCGGCAGCAACAGGAGCAGCAGCAGCAGCAGTAGCAGACGCAGAAGCAGTCCCTGCAGCAGCAGCAGCAGGAGGAGTAGGAGTAGGAGGAGTAGGAGTAGGAGTAGGAGTAGGAGTAGGAGTAGGAGTAGGAGTAGGAGTAGGAGTAGGAGTAGGAGTAGGAGTAGGAGTAGAAGTGGAGTAGGAGGAGGAGTAGGAG